CTGTTTCTTCGTTTCCTGCTGCAACACTGTTCCTAATCCCTTTCCTCTTAAATATTTTGAAATCTGTATCTTTAACCACAAATATGTACCCCAATGGGTTTTACAGGAAAGAACTACACCGAAAAGATAATGAAAGCAGATGCTGTAGATGGAAGCAGCATACAAATGAAGGTCTGCTTTTGAGTCCTGTTCCCTCCAGAGTATTTGTGACTCTTCTTGATCATTCCCTTTTCACAAGTACAAGTGCTACAGCATTGCAAAGAACAGTCAGAAATCAAAGAAGGGCACAGCCTGTACTCTTAACAAAATACTTACAGGGGAATGAGAGCAAAATAAGTGGATCCAAATTTAAACTTTGAGATATGGCAAACTTCAAATTTTACTTCCCGTAAAACCTTACTGGGAGTTACTCAAAACATAAGAACAAAGATGCCAAATACAGAACAGTGATAATTTTTCCCTAAGTGGATTTCTGCCCAACACATGAAACATCAAAGAAGCAACCCATGCAATCTTAACATTTCAGTCACCATTGAAGTTCATTCATGATTGATAAGAACTGCCTGTATTTTTCTTGCATTTCTCAAAATTATGGAGAACATTTTGTATTTCCTACAGCCTCTTCCACCCTTCTGACACGAGAAGAATTATGTGTCCTGCTGTGGTGTGTTATCTAAAGACCTCTCAGGACACAGGAAAGAAAACTGAAGAAAACAGACAGGCTGCAGAGAACAAGAAAAAAAGATGTTCAAGAGAAAATGTTCCTATTTCTTAAATCACAGCAGGTGCCTAACCCTTGGTTGTTGAGAGAGCTAATTATCCCCCAAGAGCTTTTTCTACTTGTATGCTTTCACTATAGCTATGCATTTCTCCTAGATGAGATCCACTTACTTAGGCACAATTGGGAGCCTAGGGTAGCGTCTCAGTATTAAATCACTTTCCAGAGCACGTATAGATAGATGCCCTATGATCGTGGTTTACCTACCCACCTGCAGATTTGTTTTGGTCCTGAAAACTGATCAGAAATTATTTGTGCACATCCAGGCAGCTGGCATGTTTCTGGCAGTAAGACTGGGTACTGCATTTCCAGGGGTGCCATCTCCAGGATTATTTTTTCATTATTTTCTTCCCACCTTTTTCCTTTCCTCTTTTCTGTAATTTCAAACAGATACCCGCAGTAGATGCTTCACACTTTCAGCCTGCCATGTGCATTCTGTCCCATCAGCATCTGCTCCTCTGACACCTCTCAGGAAGTTTCAGCAACTCTCCTTCAACATGTTCAGCATCTCTGGAGGCCTTAGAAAAACTGCCCATGGCTTTTTTCAGCATTGCTCTCCCAGACTTTGCCCTCCTTGGGTTTACCAGTGTGGAATTTCTAACAGCATGGCTCCTTTCATGACTCAAAGCAAACACACACATCTATGTTCCCTTTCACTCCTGCCCAGATTAAAAGGGAAAATGATGATTTTTCATCAAGAAGCCCCAAACAGCACCATTTTCAGGCTTACACCAACCAGTTGCCACCAGCTGCATGTCTGCAGGCTTAATGCTACTCTCTTCACAAGGGAAATGTCTCCTGCTGCATAGCAAAACAGGCTGCAGGCCTTTTGAAGCTGCTCTGGTGGTGAAGAGATGAGTCACCTCAGCTGCTGCCACAAGCAGGAAACCGAGCTGACAGCTCAGCTGCACACAACTGCATTAAACGCACAAAAATAGAGATTTATACACGGCAGCACCAAAGCTGGCTGCACACATCAGTGAGAGCAAAGTCACTCCTCTTCCAGGAGGGAGGCACTCCGTTCACCAGCCCAAAGCAGCAGGCTTTGCTGCTAATAGGATAATTTCCTTCTAAAACCTTCCCCACGGCAGCATCCCAGGAACACGCAAAGCTAACTTAGGCTGAAAGGGAATTTTCCACCATGCACAAGCCTCTTTCTACTTTGCATAAATCTTCTCAAGTACAGGCCACAAAGAATCCACACCAGCTCTGCAGATGACATGTAACAAGTAATTGGACACGATAAATCTCCAGCAGCCAACTCCCATGTCAAGTTTCCTCTGCACCCTCACATTTCAAATAAGCACATGTTGACTTTACACCTCCTTCCATGTTGCTATAACAAAAAATAGGATGGGGGCTTAGCATAAATCACTACAAATCCATTAAGCAGAAAGATCATTCCCCCTCTCTCTGTCAATTAAGAGATATCAGATACAGGCAGATACACTGGCAAGACATCCTTTTTCATCTGAGAAAATAAGCTTAAGCAATCCCTATATAATCACTCTTTTTCTCAGCAAACTTTCTGGAGCACAGATAAGATCAAAGGCTGCTTTCCCAGCCAACAAAGTTATTAACACCTCAAGGAAAAAGTGATGTTGCACAAAAGCCAGAGCTGTCTGATGGCTTCTCTAATCTGAGGCTGGAGACACAACGGAGCAGCAGGGAGCCTTACCCCCAGTACAAACAGGGCAGCATTTGTGCATGAATCAGAAAACAACATGCTTTTTTTGGGAAGAATTCATATTTTCAAGACATTTTCTTTGACAGAACAGTTCCCAAAATATAAAAAAAAAGGCAAAAAAAAAAAAAAAGCACATGTATTTTTAACTACAGAAAAACATCTTCATGGCACGCAATCAGAAAGCACAGCAGTGACAATGCACTGTGTGCTGAAGTTAAAAGGAAAGGAGATAGGCATTACCATAAGGTTGTTTCACAAGCAAGTGAATTCTGAATCCATTTTCACAAGACAAGCCCTCTTACTCCCAAGATCTCAAAAAACCCAGTCAGCTCAATTTTACTGGGAACGTGAAGATAACAGACCCATGTAATACAGCTGAATTTAATTTTTGTCTCAGCTGAGATAAGAGGCCAGGCTGTAGGGAACAGTAGGGAAGGGAGTCCTTTAGAAACCAGGAGCTCCATATGAGCAGATACAGTAAAACTGTTTCCTGTCTGCACTTTTGCTAAAGTCAACATACAGTATGGACTCTCTGATGTACAAGGAGTGTTTTTCCTCCTATTTTCAAGAAAATTACTTCAACTCACTACCCCTTAAGTTTCCTTTGCAAAATGTGGTTAAAATGGGCCAAAGGATTCCAAAGTTCAAAAGCTGCTGAGGAGAGACAACAGAGACACAGATGTACAAAGTAAAGATGTGAATTTGTTTTCTGAAGCTGTAAAAATAATAAGAAAGGAGAAAATAATCTGGGCCAGCAGTTCCAAAAATATGACATAAGTATCATCTGCAGTTTGAAAGTGGTATGCAAATAACATCTGAACAGTCAAATGATGTTTGTGCGTGCCACTGAGACTACATTTGTAAAAGCCTTGTGCAGAGTACAATCAAGCTGAAACAAACCACAAGCATTTAATTTATCATAACTGGCGGGGCAAGAGCCTCCTCCTTAACACAACACACTACGACTGTCCTGCCTGCACTGCACCAATTTAAGGAGAGCCCTACTACACCCTGCCAAGGACCATCATGGTATACCAGTTTCCTCAAGAGATGTACCAAAATTGCACCATTGTTACTTCAGCCATGTAAGGAAAAAACCCACGCTTCTAGAAAGAAAATCTAGTTCAGGAACATATAACTAAATGGAGAAACTTCGCATTTGAATTGAAGAAATGATAACATGCATTCCAGTTCCAGCCTGAAAAGCATGGGAACACAGAGATGGGAGAGGATTATACACCTCTGCCTAGGTAAATCCATAGCTCTGTTCAGAACTCAGAACTCAGTGCAGAGAAAGCTATCAGAAAAAAATATTATTACTTAATATTTATGTAGCACTTTTCATCTGGCAATTTTTAAGCAAGCAATACATTAAGTAATTTACCAAGAAAAAGAAAAACATAGATTGGCCTTCTGTGTGATCAGTAGCTTACACTTTCAGAGGAAAAACAATTCTACTTTATTGAACTTTAAGGCCTGGATTTACTATACATTATTCACTGTTACATTTCAAACTGGCAGCAAGGTAATCAATCAGGTTATTAGCTCCAAAATGCATTTATCAGTGCATTTTGCTAAGTTTCCATATTAAGAAAACCACAGAAAAACCTGGAGCTGTTAAAATCTTTTTATCATTGGTTAAGAACTAACAAGTTAGGGCACTGTAATTGTTAAAAAAACCAAAACAAACCAACCTGAAAGAATATCCTACCTTCCAAGTTTGCCACTCTGGATTATTCTCTTGCTAACAATGCCCAGTTAATGATTCTCCTTTATTTCAGTTCATCTGATGAGATCTTTCTGAAATCACTTCCACCGACAACAGGGCTTCCTGTTTGTGGGTAGCACCACATGTCAGCTTGGCACAGCTTTCCTTTTACACAAGTGCAAGATGCTGCCTTGTGTTAATACAGAAAGCTATCAAAAACATACAGTTTTTGATTTGGATTTGGATCTGGATTTAAAAACAGATTCCATAGCACTGGCCATCATTAGTGTTTCTAGCCAGCAACATTATGCTGATCTGAAAATAAATCTTTTGGGACTATGATTTAAAAAATACAGTTCACATGCTCACTATGACAGAGCAATTCCTGTATTTCAGATATTTGGTCTATCTCTCCTCTAGCAGCACACTGATTTTTATTGCTGGTGAACTCAGACAAGAGACTGCTCTTTATAAGACAAAATAGAAGCAAAAGCAAATATGATGACTGCATGCACCCAATTCAGTTTTTTTTTTTTTTTTAACGCATAAAATGGGTACACAAATTTAGGCAACATTTAAACTCTTGGCAAATAGCTAATTTACCAGATCAGTAACATAAATGTTAGTAATTTTTGACTTGGGACCCTGTGGCAGTGAATCACTGGAAAAATCAGGGATTCATCTTGTCTCCTCTGCTTTAGCAGTAGGGAGATGAATTTTCAGAGGGGCATAAACTTTCCATTCTCTGAGGTATAAGAACAAGGATATAAGAACAAGGCTGGATACAAGAAAAAGGTGGATCTTTAATCCAAGTAAGCAGCTCTTTAATATGACATCTTGCTTTTGTAACTTCTTTATTAATCTTAACTGTTAGAAGAAAAGACAAGTTAAATTGCGTGAGAGCATCTTGTGATTATTATATATGCTCCCACAAATACAACTGATACCTTAAATTAATTTTCCTTACCAGTTTCATATTTCTTCTATGCTCCACTTGCAGCTGGTGTTCTCACATAACTTACATAGCCAGGAGTTAAATAATCTCTTGAAAATCAAAAATAGAATGATGAGGCTCAATACACTAGTAGTAAATACAGTAAACACTTGACAAAAATACAGAGACAATTGGGATGTGGAACCAGTTCATTTTTGGACATCCCTAAAAGCTTCTGTCTAATTAGGTTCATTTTTTGACAAACAAGAATGGGATTAGATCAGCGTTATTGTAGCAGTCACATGACAGAACCTAGATGGCTATATTTGTCAAGCATTTAATTAATTTCTAGTCTTGTACTGGCCTCTGATTTACAAAACTCATGGGAGACTACATGACTTTCTCATGAGCAGGAATCATTATGTTTACCCACATGTCAGGGTTAACCTACAGTGAAATTGCCACCTTTACAAATACTTAACATTTCAAAAATGGCATTCTGTCTGGGAGAAGAGGAAGATCGTAGCCCATTTGTTCTCCCTCTTTTTTCCTGGAGGGAAGAGGGGAGAAGTCAAATTCTGTATTTTTGATAACAGAGACATAATTCCTAACAGATTGCAATAACGTGCTGAAAACATGGTCAGGAAACAACAGCTATAAGCCCCTAGTTGTTCATATGACAAATATTTCACTGAAAAGTGAAGCAACGTCAAAAAGCTAGAAAACAAATGGTCATTCTCAGCTCTGCCAGTGTTGCAGCTGGTATTCACACAGGTTTAGATTAATCCATGAGACTTTTTCAGATCTTATCCCAGGTGTCAGTTAAGCAAGAAATCAGGCTCACGATAACCAAAGAGTTTAAAATCGCCTTCAAATCGTGCATAGAGGCGTCTTATGTCTCTCTTGCTAATTCCTGAAAAATACCGCTCTACTTTTGTTCTGTTGTACACTGTTATGCCTGGTGGGATTGTGGGGTACGATACCAAGTGGTCTATGCCAGCTGCTTTCAGGATATAGGGAGCATCGTCCTCCAGGGTTTCGTGGTGTCCGATCACACTGTACGTGATTTCACAGGGAGCACAAAGTTCCACGTATGTTACCCAGTGAATGATGTGGTCACCAAACTGAACATCCAGCCATCGGTGATTAGGGTCCCCCAGGTAGCGCACAAAATCCTCAAACTGCAGCCCTTTGGTCTCTGTGCGATTCTTCCTGTACTTACGAATGATGCCGGGAGCAATTTCATGCCGGTACCAAGGTTCAAACCGAGGATTGTGCACAAACTTGTCCTTAAACGCAGAAATAAGTCTTTCAAATGGATCTCTAACAATAAAAAACTTGAAGTATAAATTCAGTCTAAACAGAGGAAGAAAAAAATTAAATAATTAAGGAAAGTGCTTAACATATACTTACAAAATGTACATGAACTCTGACCACAGACTCAGCAACATGAATCTTAGAGCACTTGCATCAATATTATAATCAACAGAACAAAATACAATTTCTGTCTTCTTACTAGTAGTTTTTACATACAGGACAAAGAAGAAATGGTTAATCCTAGTTATCACATATTATTCAAACTGGAGGAGTTCAGCTTATCTCAATCCATAATAAACAGGAGACAAAAGACACTGAGAGCTCCAAGTTAAAGATATTTGTAATGTCATGTGATCAAGCTCAAAAAAACCAAAATACTTAAGGACATGGAGAAAAGTGCATTGGTGCAGCTAAATGCATATAGAAGGAGGCATTTTTCACTAGCAGGTAGTTAGATAAATTGCTGCTTAAGTACAAAGAAGTTAAGAATGGTATTTTATTTTGATGTTTCGTCATGCTTTCAATAATGGCTGAGAGCACCACTGAAAATGAGACCACAGTTACAGAATTTAATGTATTACTGTGATACTGTAATATGCAACATTCTGTAATCAGATTATCTGTAGGAGGAGTAAATTGAAAACAAAGTTTATTTCAAGAAATAGCTAAGAAAAGAGATTGAGAGCCCAGTCCTCACTGAAATGAGGATGGATGGACTGGATGTGGATAGACGCTTCAGCTGTACACCACTTGCATCATACTTCAGATACTCCTGACTTACTCCTAGCCAGGCAGGGCTAGATAGAGGTCAGCAAACTGAGTCAAGAGATCCACACCATCCTGCTTTCCACACTGAAAACGCTGGTAATTTCAGATCCAAACCAAACCCATGTTATACACCTCCAGCATAGCTTCCATGCTGAGCAGAACGCAGCAACCCAAACAATAATGGATTCAACTTCATGAATCCTAACTAGAGCTTACCCCAAGGTGAACAGTTCCTTTCTGCAAGGCTGCTCACAGGGAGGGAAGCAGATCCATGTTCTCAAGAATGCAGTGACCGTATTTTCCTTCGTACAGTATGAAGACAATCAAGTGACCCCAGTTCTACAGGCACAGCTGTCATAAATGTCCTTGTGCCACTGAATGCAACAAAAACCCTTGGGCTGAGCTCTACTAACACATGACACATGTATAAAGGGCTGACATTTCAGAATGGTGTAATGCACACAAACCCATGCAAGAACAGGCTTACAAGTGTCCACTGTCATCCTATGTCCTATTCTCTCCATGTTGCCACGCCTTACAGGGATTATATATGGCATAGGCTCTAACAGAGATGAGAGCAGGCACAGTTAAAAATCTAGCCAAAGTAATGTAGAAGTTCTATTGCAGAGTATTTTTTGGCTCTGAAAATAACCAGAAACACTTAAACAGGAAAACAAAGTGGTTCAGCTGAATGGAAAATATTCTGGGGCTAAGAAGCACTAACAATTTAAACCTAACCAGCTCAATCCTAGTAAGTAAGTCTGCTGCAATGACAATCTTGCCTATAGGCAGTAAGATTTACCATATGAGACATTGATGGGCTGTCCAATTAAACCTTTGGTTCTGAAGGTCAGCTATCTAACAACTAGGTAGGCATTGAATTACAGAAACCTTATATCCCAGGGAGTTGGTTGGCTCACCTAACTATATCACTGATTACACTGGTGCTCTCTTTCAAAGCCAGGAGGAAGGCAGATACAGCAACATCTGTGAGGATAACAGAATAGTGCCATATACAAGTGGTGGAGCAGAAATCCTGCTACCCTCATTTTCAGACACAGACTTCAGCTGTACCCTTGATTGCTCATAACACCATTGACCTCAAACCCCTCAACACTCACTGGCAGTGCCACTCACCGTTTTTTAATTTCAGAGTCACTGAAAGAGGACAAGCGTGGAAGGCCATTCTTCTCATGATCATGTACAATGTTTTCTGGGATCTCTTCTATGGAAGAAAATGCTCCTGGACAAATCAAAATGAGAGAGCAAATGATTCATTCAAGGGAAAAAAACAGCGAGTATAAGCAAGCATGCATGCCTTTGGCTGACAGTTCCATGTCTTTCTCTTTCCTTTATTTTTACTGTTTAAAGTTACTATGTTTAAAACTGTGAAATTATGAGAGATTCTGACTGCAAAGCTGAAAACTGTTAAAATTCTTCAGGGTACGTGACATCACGGTCCAAGACCAAATGGCCCAAAAATTCTCAGAAAAGCATATTACGCAAATCTCATCAGCAATTATGTCTAAGCCTGTAACTCCTCACATGTCACTGTCCCCATTCTCTTTTCCTCTACCTGCACATACAAATGAAGGAAGACTTTCAGGATTAACTCAGAAGAAGGAACCCGCTTTTTGGCTGAGTTTCAACCACCAACAAAAATAAATGCTATGAGCTGCTTTTGGAACTGCTTCAATGCAAAAGTACTTTGCTTTAAGGATCCATAAAGTCTTTTTAACAAGTATGCTGTGATGAAACAAAAATTCCAATCAGAGAATACTCCACAGATTAAAAGGCACTAAAATTAACAACACAAGTCTCCAGATACTCATTTCTGCAAGTACATGAGCTGACAAGAAAAATAACGTCACAACTCTGCTGTGTTCATTTTAGTATCCTGATCCTGGAAGGTTTTATGACCTTGAGAAACATCTCATGTGGTCCCCTGGGCTTTAGGCATAAGCCTTCACACAACAGCATCGTTTCAGAATATCAACCTGCAACAAGCACAGCGGGCTACAAAACAAGCCTGTTAAGTGAAAGCCTCACAGCCTTCTTGTTTCCAGAACTGAATAATACACACCACTCAGCTGCTCAGTTTTCCAAACTTTTTTTTTTCCTGGGGTTGTATTTTATCAGTTTCAGGTTTTCAGTTGTATTTTTGGTACCATAGATGAATCATATGTGGACAATAGATGAGACAGCCTCAGAAACCAATACCTTGCACTCATTCAGAGAACACAGTCAGTACAAGCAGTAGCAGAGTTAGCTCCCCCACAGTGCCACAGCTGCATTTCCCCCTCCTGAACCTCCAAATACCATTTAGGTATTTGGCATAAATTATTCTCCCTGAAGTATCAGCTCTGCCTTCTGAGACTACCCAAAGAGGAGAAAGTTAGGTCAACCACAGCAGCAGCCTTCATCAGCACATACCAGTGCACTGGCAGCTTAAGGCAAAACAGACCAGTGTGGAAGCAATGGAAAGCAATTTTCTACCATTATCCAACATGACAGAACTAGGAAACTCAAGGTGAAAAGTTCCCTGCTGTTAAGACATGAGTTATCCTCCACTCAGCATAGCCAATACATGCCTGCCCATCCTGAGGCATTCTTTGCATGTTATCTCTCAAGTGCTGCTAAGAGCAGGTACTTCCAATGCCCTCATATAGTTCCATATTTAGTACTTTGAGTGTGGCTTTCATAGGTATTAAGAAACATGCACACACATAGGTATGGGAATATCTGCTAGATTTTTAGCTCACATCCATAGATCAAGGATGAAATTAACATTAAAGTTTTTACTGCTAGTACTGCTTGCTAGAAAATCTTTGCTGAGGGACACAGCTCATTTGCTAATTTTTCAAACACAGTTGCCCCTTTATTCCTTCTTTCACCATCTTTTATAATATACATTTGGTGACCAAACTATTGTGTTAAGCACCTCAGAATCTGCGTAACTCTTAAGATGGTTCACTGATAGAACACACACAAGATTTCAGCAAGACAGACCAAGAGGAGCTGCCAAGTTTTAACTGGCTTTCTTCATGGCTAAAATCTCTAGTTAAAAGTCACTGGCCTTTAGCCAGAAATTTCATATTATTGTCACTTAGTAATACCTTTCAAATTCTATAAATTAGTGCACCCCTTCAAAGACAAGAAACCTACCTACCACATGCATATGGGTACTCTGTCATGACTCAAATAACTTTAGAGCCAAGTAATAACAATACTTATTTTTACAGAAAGAAGAGATCTAATTTTAAGAGGATGTTTTGAAAGGACTAGAAACACCTGTGATAAATTAAAAGTTGAAATTAAGTATCAGTGTACAGAAATGCAGAAAGAACCCTTTTCAGTTGCCCCAGTCAGAGCAATTCCATTTCCTCCTCCTCCTCAAAGAAACCCACACACCCACAGAAAAGTAGATACCATTTAAAACGATCAAGACTTTTTTCCACTGAGTGTTGCCCACTTTTGGCGTCTGACAAAACAGGATCTTGTGCTTGTCACACACAAATATTCTGTCCAGCACAAATTTGGAAACTGCAGTATGAGAGAGATCTCTCAATGTAGTGTCTCTGCAGACATTCCTGAGAAGCTCAAGTCTTTCCATATGAACCAGGGGTTGGCGGATCAGATTTCCTGAAAAAGCTTTTCCAGTTGGCTTTATGAAATGCAGAGGAGAAAGAAAAAAAAAAAGTTAAAGACTTTAGTTTTCAGATCAAATTATGAAGTTTAAAAATCCCCAAACTATGCACCCTAATGACTCCCAGATTAAAACATTGCTTTGTATTAACTAAAGGAGTAGCCAATAGTTTGCTTCCTGTGCTGCTGCTGTACTTTGGTTCAGCTCTTAAAACATTACATGGTAGTGTATACAGTAGTAAGAACTTCTCCATACAACAATTTAAGTTTGCTGCACAGCAGCAGAGCATTATCTGTGTGGATAAAACATGCCTTGATCAAATACTGAAACTCACACAGAGTTTCAACAACCTGTAAGAAAGCTTCTGAGAGGTTAGAACAGGAATTCCAATATAAATTATGCTTTATGCTCTGAGAAGGTAGGGCTGACCCATGGTGTGATTCTTGGGGACATCCTGCGCAGACTAAGAGCTGGACTCTATGATCCTTGTGGATCCCTTCCAACTCAGAACATTTTGCGACCCATCTGGCTGGGAAAAAAATTGGGATAAAAGTTCTGTATTGTTGTGTTGTTTTCTAGCACCTGTAGGCATCTTGTGTTTCCATTTATCCAAGCTGAAATAAAATCAGGTAAATAAAAATGTGAACAATGAGCATCAGTGTGACAAATAAAAGAAGTATCAGGATACCTTTCACCCAAAAGTGGATGAGCTGTTTCACATGTCTCATTTTTCTGAGACTAAGAAAGGAACCACAACCACTTTTTGCCTCACAACTAGTGGAGTGAGAGGAAAAAGGAGTTTCTCTAATTAAGAGGTTATAGGAAAGTTTAAATTTCTACTGACAAATTTTCACTTTTCCACTAACTGAACGGCAATCCCCAATATCAATACAGACTAGGGGATGAAATTATTGAGACCAACCCTGCCAAGGACTTGGGGATACCGATGAGTGAAAAACTGGATGTGTGCTGGCAATGTGTACTTGCAGCCCAGAAAGCCAACTGCACCCTGGACTGCATCAAAAAAGCACAGTGGCCAGCAGGTCAAAGGAGGTGACTCTCCCCCTGCACTCTGCTCTACTGCCACCTGGAGTGCCGCATGCAGCCCTGGGGCCCCAGCACAGGAAAGACATGGACCTGTTAAGGGAAGGTCCAGAGAAGGCCGTGAAGATGGTCCAAGATGGAGCACCTCTCCTATGAAGACAGGCTGACACAGCTGTGGCAGTTCAGCCTGGGGAAGAAAAGGCTCCAGGAAAACCCCACTGCAGCCTTTCAATGCTCACAAGAGGTTTGTAAGAAAGACAGACTTTTTACCAGGGACTGCAGTGACAAGACAGGGGTAATGATTTTCTACTGAAAAAAAAATAGGTTTAGACATTAGGAAGGAATTTTTTTCCTATGAGAGTGGTCAGGCACTGGAACCTGCTACCCAGAACAGCTGTGGATGGCCCAGCCCAGAAATGTTCAAGGCCAGGTTGGATGGGGCTCTGAGCAATCTGGGCTAATGAAAGGTGTCCCTGTCCATGGCAGAGGGCTTGGAACTAGATGATCTTCAACAGTCCCTTCCAACTCAAACCATTGTGTGATTCTATGACTTCAGGTACAGTGTCCAAGCAACAGATGAAAAAGGAATTATTTTACTTTTTGTCCCAACCTTTCATAAGGAAATAAAAAAATTCTGCTTTTTCTGTTTGTTACTCTTCTCAAATATCCCCTGCTCAGAATGTAATCTGAACTGTCTGTCAGACTATTTTATCTGTCCAAACAATTCTTTCTGCAGGTAACAAAAATTAATGTTGTTAGTCTACATTTCACGCTGTCAGGAAGTCAAGAGGGAATTGTTATAGATCCAGAAACCTTATTATTCTCTTCCATACTAGTAAAGAAAGCTATTAAAACTCTCTATACATATCTACCTTCCACTGAAGAAAGTGTTTTTCCCAAGTATTTTGAAGGTAACTTAAATTTTGTGCTTTTGCAAAATGAAAACAAAAAGATCCGTGTTTATACAGCTAACCTACCTTACATGTACATCACAAAAATACTTTAAACATAAGATGACTAATGTGCTAATGCAAAAAAAGGAAAACAAATTTGATTTAGCGCACTCTGAAACTGGCCTCAAATTTACATTTGCATAAAGGATTTTCATAGTTTCATTGTCAATTTGCTGAAAGCACAGAGCTGTGCATCTAAAAGATCAAGTGGCATTGACTACCACTGTGTTCATGTTCTACTTTGGAAAAATGCTGAAATGTGAAACACAAAGAGCACAAAATATGAAGAAGAAATTGACAGTGATAAAAAGAAGTAGAGAGATTGGGCAGAAATCTAAGAGAATAGAGCAGACACTGGTTTGCCCTCAACAACCACAAACCTGATCGCTATGGCAAGACAGAACACAACTAATCCAAAACTGGGCCGTTACATTAAAAAGGCTAACAACTGTCCTGACTTGATAAAGGAGTACTGTAACAATTTTCTCCTAGAAATGGAAACACATTAAGTTGAATCATTCAGATGAAACAAGACAGCAGATTACTGTAACAAACCAGCTTTGTGAAGTTAAAATGAATTCTGTCAGCTCTATCTAAATAGAACAGCCTGAATAAATAATTCCTGTCTAGCAATTCATCTTAACAACAGGAACCTTCCTTAATCTCTTCTTTTCTTCTACTCTTTAATACATATAACCCTTATCTCAACAGTATGCACCTGGAATTCCTCTGGCCAATGTTTTTCCTCTGGCACATGTACCTCCTCCACTTTTGTCACAGCTGTCAGAATCAATGGCTCTTGCTTGGCACCATAGCCTAAAGAAGGGAGAGAGATAACAGCATTACAGACGGTGAGGGGAAAGCAACTATTTCTGCTTTACAACTAAAACACATCAACTTCACTTTCTGTATTGACCTTACGAAACACTAGGATTTGTTTCTACATGGCAAAGTACTAGACAAGACAGACATAGACTATGAATATTTTAAAGGATGTACTCTGGGAATTTTGAATGCAACTTCATTTGAGTTTTATCAAAGAAATATACCCATTATATTTTACTTGGTTTTTTTTGGTTGTTTTCTTTGTTTTTTTTTTTTCTAAAAAGCATGCAGAGACATCAAAGTCTTGAATCCAAATACCTCAGTTGATAGACAATTTGGTATAACTATATGGACTTGTGCACAAGAAATTTTTATTTTTCAACGAACCTGTCAAAGCACCTCCAAATAAAAAACTTAAATCTATCAGGTTACTCTCCCCCCTTACACTAGTAAAAATGTTTCTTCTTTTTTAGACTGTTAAACATACAAGAAGGAAAGTGTTGTTATGGACACCCTTTTATTTCTGTGGTACTCTAAGTAAGCACCTATAATCAACAATAAATAAAGATCCCCTCTTCCTCTATTACTGGACCAATGGCCTTCCTCAGAGATTCTCACAACAACAAACTCAGCTGATACTCTTTTTCTTTTTTAGCGATTTTAGGACAGCTAATAGTTTGAGACCAAATTAAAGCATGTAAGGAAGAACCCTTTTCATCTTTTGCATTTAGTATGGTACAGAAAAAAACAAAAAATAAACAAGGTTTTAGCTTTAGTCTACACAGTGCAGAAGAACAAAAAAAAATCTGAAGCAGCTTTCCCTAACTACAAAGCAAAAAGAACATGTTTTCTCCCTGAAAATTTATTTCCATTCACATTGGATTACTTTTCTTTTCATATAGATTCTTCTATGAATAATGTTGCCTCATCTGCATCCACAGAGGCTTACTGTTTCATGGTTGAGAAAGCGTGTGCACTGTCCTTTTCTTCAGGGAGTACTCTATTCTGCCTACACTGGATTTTAACAAAGGGCATGCACGGAAAAGCAAGTTAAAACTGAAAGCAATGCAAGCATTCAAGCATTCAGAAACTGTAATTGTTGCTGTGCATAGACTTGCTTCGTGGTGTTCTTCTGTAAAATACAAGTAATCTGATTCAGTGAAAGAGCAGCTAAACTATTTTTCCACTATCATTGTGTAAAAGCATGCCTGTGGATGCTACTAGGAAAGATGGACAGACACTTGGTCCTTAAGAAGTTCCTATTGCTCATGTACCCAAGACATCAGTAAAAGGCTTAAACAAAAGAACATTGATTCATTGAGCATCTGATGGTTTTATTCCATCTGCTAGGAAGACACATCCAAATAAGAAAAATTTCTGACAAGTCATATTTTATTAAGTCTAGAAGAGCTTTTCCAGGATTTGCCATCCTGTTTGGACTTCCTCCAAAATTCTGTTGGTATATTCAAAGTATTTCCTTTAATTAGTTTTATTACAAACACTCCAACACATATATACACTTAACTATAGTCATGCCTTTGCAAGACAAGCTTAAGAATTTATGTATCATCTGCTCAGAGAACTATTCAAAAGGAGTGGAAGATTCAGCATAGGAAAAAAAAAAGAGAAAAAACTTTGCAAGCCAAGATAATAAAAAGCAAATAAATGCAGAGGCTATGCTCTAACTATTTTTTAAAACTACATTTTAATTTTCCTGACAAATTCTGATGAAAAGAAACACCCAAAGAACACCTGGGAAACAAGAGTTGGCATAGAGTGAAATACTGGAAGATATAACTACCTAACATAGGACTAGCTGATTTGCAGATGTACCAGGACAGAACAGCTGTGTCCAAGGAAAGCTATGTTAGTCTACATTTCTCCCCTGTAAGACTTGCTGAATAAATCTTCACATATATGCATATTATTTATAAAGGTACACCTAATGTATTTATCCATTATCAAGTTATTGAAAAACACAGCACAAGTGTCAATGCTTCAAAACTCACATATTTTTTGCATGTCTTAGGAAGATGCAAAAACAGATCTCTTAAGACTCAAAGTCCTATCACTACCTTCACCCAAAACTCTCTGCAGGGTGGCTTTGTAAGAGCAGCTCCCCAGCAGACACAAAGTAACATGCTGTGTGGTGTCATCAAATGGCTTAAATTCCTCATCATCTTAATAACATCTCAGCTACTTAAGCTGAGCAAAAGCCTGTAAGCTGTTTACAAGTCAAATAGCAGGGGATAAAACTGAATGCAAGAAGCAGGCCAGAGGTGGCTAGGCAAAGTGCATTGCAAATGAAATAAAACTTTCCACAAGTTTTGCATAATGCCTCAGCCACAAGACAAGCAGAGACAAAAGGACAAAAGCTAAAATCATGTGAAATGAACTCCTCAGTACCCTCTGAGTCTCTTCTGACTTTAAACAGGTAATAGTGCTCTGCTGTTTCTGCACATAGCTTCTACCCCTAGTAGATCATGATACTGAAACTAAATGTATTTGAAAAAACAGACCTGCCAAGACAGTACTGCCAAACATGATCCCTTCTGTTCTTAACCACCAAAAAAAATCTCCTGTGATGTTAAATGTGTAGACTTCTAGCAAGAAATGGAACTGAATATCAGTACTGTCACTTCCAGACATTTAGTTGTTCTGTTCTCAGTCCTACTGAAGAAGTGATAACATGCCAAAACCTACTTTCATAGAAAAAGAGTATTTTTGTGAAGCACTGTTCAATTTTCTGTTTCACATCAAACATTAAAGCTAAACTTACCATCTGGGTCTTTAAAAGTCAATGTGATAAACTTGCTAGCAACCATGAACATGAATATCACCCAAAAGCATGCAGCTAGCAGCAGCCACCGGTGGTGCATGTTGTCAGATGAGCCATATAAAGCTGGCACTTCCTGTTTGAAAGAGAAAAGATTGACACATTAATTATTTTTGTTACAGTTTAGAAAAAATACTTTCCATAACCAAAAATAAAACCAAAAATAAAAAACTTTAATATGTATGTGTGTCATAAAACATAGAGGTAAATTCCACATTTAACTTTTTGTCCATTCAGCCGTATTTTTAAGCAACATTAAAGCTGAGACAATGGAACCATTGGCTGGTATCAAAGGGAGACTTCACTCCTTCACCCGTGCTCACATTCCTCCCTCCTCCTTGTGCTGGGAATAGCACTGTCTGTCTGACTGCTTGGGGAGATAGATGAAAAACCCCATTTTTTTAAAAAAAAAGTTTATTTTTTGATTCAACTTAGCAAGACAGCCCATTGCAGGAAAGGAAGGGAGAATGCAGAAAGCTGTGAAGAAAGTGGTAGATGTAACATTAACACTGTACTTGGCTATCCCAAGTCAGCTTATGACATATAACACAGACTCTTCCCCTGCCCAGCCTACAGAAATCACAGGCTGGAAGCTACCAAGCTGGAACACTAAGCTTAAGCTGGCCAAATATTTTTCAGTTTCCTTGCAGCACTGCCTACTACGTGTAGCTCTATCCCTGCAGGTAAGCCTCAAAGACAGAACTTCCTCAGGAGTGCAGGAAGGGTTACCCAAACAATTGAGACTGCAGCTTTAATGTGCAAAGAAACCACCCACAGGAGCTGAGTGAATACAAGCAGTTCTATCCTGATTTTTGAAACTGCTATCTTGATAATATTTTTCCTATGACTGTAAGATTAAATATAAGAAAACCAGTGATAAGAGAGATTGACATTCCCAGCCACTAAGAGAAATGGAAAATTTTAGGCTGTATCTTTAGCTGAATTTCCAACCTCTGATGGGCAATACACACAGGGGTGGACACCAGGTATCTGTGAAAGCTCCACTGCAAATAAAAAAATAACCCACATCCAAAACCTACAAAAATATAGCACTATTGTCTCTACCGTTGCTGGAGAGATAAGACACCTGAGGGGCTGAACTCAGGTGATGAAAAGAGTGAATGCTTCCTTTTGAGAACACATGCAACACAACATGCAAGCATTTAACCAAAGAGAATCTAATACAAAAATCTCATGCAATGACATCCTCACAACAATCCTGTAACTAGCAATAGGATCAAACTCAGTCCTAAAGTAGCCACATGCAACTTCATTGAGAGTCATGTCTGCATGGTTTGTGATCACAATTTCTATACTGGCATTTAAGTGAATTGCCAAGGAATACAAGAAATGCCCTCATTCCCAGTATGATGCAAAAAAATGTTAGTTAACACTCCTAAGGAAGTGTTTATTAAGTTTCTCAGTCATATACCAGTATTCCACATTGTTCATTCCCACAAAGCTTCAATAACAGAAGCCTGATTCTGATGATGTTTCAGCATGTCCACTTGCAACTACTACTGCTACAGGTGCCAGAGCTTTTCCAACTAGCTTTTGCCTTCCAGCAATAAAAATGTTTCCAGGAAGAATTCTCTCCATACTGACAGCAGTGAACCATCTTCAGGGTAAGCTGAAAACCTGTGCAGGCAGTCAAGCAGTTCAAAACAGACTTGGAACCCAAATGATGTATGCAAAATGGGTAAAAGGATGAAAAAAACTGAACATCTCCAGTTAAAGGGAAAAAAATTAGCTAGGATGGCAGTGTTCAGGCCTACTTTTATCTTCTCAGTGTGGCGTTTCTCAGCTTGGCTTCTGAAAGTTTCTTTCTCTCCCCTCTCTTCTTTCATGAGTCCATTTTTAAGTAGTTCTAAAAACACCATACCTAGGAATCAACTGTCTTTTGGACAACCACAGGTGCTGTGACCTCCATTAATACAATGTTTGTCATCTCCTGTTTTTTGCTGCAATTCTCTGGCTGACAACTGATCATGCAACATCCCAAACATGTTTATTCTTCATTATGTGGAAAACTGTTGACCAGGAAATAAAAATATCATAGGAATTCCATCAGACTGGCCTCTTCTCAGCTAAGTAGTTCAAAAGTTATTCCCATCCTACCACTGCACTAGAGCAAGCCTGCTCTAAGATTCATGCTGAAAACCACCAGGTCTCAAAGGTCCTCATTTTTCAGTCTGCCATGAAATGCACCATCTTCCACTTAAGCACTGAGATTTGTTACCTTTACTCTCAGACATTGCGTTCATTTCCAGCTCTCACGGAAGAAAAAATTCAGATCTGATATCAAAACACAGAACTGTAGCAATGACATGTTTTACTTTTTAGGTAGCTCTGCTAAAACCATGAGAACCGTTCAACATTCAAAACACTGAATGCAGCAGACTGACAGAAGCTTGCAGAGAACACTCTGCAGGAGGAAAATCTCTAACAATCAGCTATGGGCTTTTCAGAGGTATAATGAAAAGTCTGGGCCAAACCTCTCTGCCCAACTCAGTATATTTGTCCTACATAAAGCAGGGTAGAAACTGCCTCCAACGTTCATAGCATCCCTGCTAGCCTGCCCACTTCTATAACGGTGATGGATGCACACCATTCATTAAGAACTATTGATCTATATTCCCTTATGTAATTTATGTATTGGATTTCCAAGAAATTGTGTTAAATCGCATGGGAAATGCAGTTCCTGTGTGCTCTGACCTGAAATGCAGTTAGTGGAGAGAGGACCCTGCTGTCAGGTCCTGTGCTGCAGGGACAGGAGAGCATTTCAGCCAGTCACCTAAAAGTGGTACAATTCTCACCTTAAAGACAGGGCTTAGAGAGCAGGAAGGGGTCAGAACTGCAGCCCCATCCATAAGAACCATCACTTTTCCCCTTCAAGATGTGGAAGCTGAGAGGAAAACATTTAGCAGTTTTGTCTACTCTTTTGTTTTAATGTGCACATGAAATCTGCAACCATACTACAGAATGTAAGAGTTTTGTCAAAGGATCTGTCATAATGTAATTATGATGTTACTACACTGTTACTTCTAGCATCCTAAAGTACTGTATCAACATCTGTATCAGCAGCTCAACACTGATCTCAAGGCAGAACTATTCAAAGTTACAGACAGGAGTACCTCAACCATTATGCTCACTTAAATGCAACAACCAGTAATTAAAAAAAAAAATAATGTGTTTACGTTGTTTCTCTGTCTTAATATTTTTATTGTTTTCACATAGGGCAATTGCATTTCCTATTTTATCTCTGCATTTATTTCTAGTAAATTACAGGTACTAGCTTCTGGTTTTTCTCTTTAAAAGGCTCCTTCAGTTTCCAAAACAGTCTTCTATTTCTGGCTGTCTAAAACACAGTTTTTCTCTACAAGTAGACAAAAGCAAGAAATATATTGAAGGTTTAGTCCATTTTCTCACAACGAAATGCACAGCTTTCTGGTTAGTTTCTCCCTCTTACTGCAATTCTACACTTTTTAGAAACACAAGATCTCAAAACTCCTGTCCCCACCCATGCCTCTGTCCTTCCCTCTCAGGGCTACCACAAACGCAAATGGTCACACAGCACTCAGATTAGCCTGAACAAACACTAATTCTTTGCAGAAGACTGCTTCAAGTGAATGATAGGACAAAGGGCGAACGATGTAAGCAGCATTAAAACTCAGTGCACAGTCTCTGGCTCTGCAGCTTATGCTGCTAGCACAGGGGCTCCTTGGCAGGACAGTCCCTGCACGCATCGTCAATGGCAGAGACGCCAGGAGGCTCAAACTCCCAAGTGCTGGCCCACCAGCGCATGATGGAAATGGAACTTGTAAGAAAGGCCAAGCAACACCTAACTGGGACAACCTAATTCATTTTCACCAATGCTTCCTTTGTGTCATTTTACAGGTAAGAAAATCTGGCCAGTTTGTTTTACCTAAAAAAAAATTCAGACTAACATATATCACAGACGCTTCTTTGGCAAGTTGCGTGGTGCTACTTGACGTTCTAACATACATCGTAACAGGCTGGTTCTTTCCTAAGGCTCGCCTCCTCCCGAGGGCACTAACAGGCCTGCGTGTCTGCTCTTCCAGCTCCCGCTGTGGCCCGGAGCGCTCCCTGCGCACGCAGTTCACCTGTCAGCGGGATGCGAAGCAAGGACCAGGGCGGCAGCGCGTCCCCAGCCGCGGCACCCACCTCGGCCCGAGCCGCGGCACCCACCGCGGCCGGGGCAGGCCCGGCGTGCGCCCGGGACCCTGCCTCCCTTCCGCACGCCGTGCCCCGTCTGACAGACACCAGCTCCCACTCCAGCGGGCACCCCACGCTCTTCACAGCGGGGAACGGCAGAGTCCAGGTTTCATGGGAGCTCCATTCATCATTCCGTAAGACCAGAGCGGTCCCCGCCGAGAAGAGGGGACAGGGCCGTGCTCTGACCGGCAGGGGACGAGCCGAGGCAATGCCCAGCCCCAGTCCCAGCCCGGCTCGGGGCGCAAGGACCTAGGATGAACAGATATCAACTTTTCCCGTTCTGGAGGAGGACGACGAAGCTGGGCGGGCTTCCCCTCACCCGGCAGAGACGGACAGCACATGCAGCGCCCGCTGGCTTCCCCGCCCGACCCGGGGTGCCGGAGGAGCCTGTGCCCGGGGCCAGCGGCCGCCAGGCCTCCCCCCGCGGCCCTGCCCGGCCCCTCCCCGGCTTACCGGCCCTCCAGCGCCGCTGCCCGCAGCCCCGGCCCGCGGCGGCGGGCGGCAGCGCCTCCCCGGCCCCGCTCAGCCGCTGCCGCCGCCGCCCGGCCCTGCCGCCGCCGCCTCCATCTCCTCCCGGGGCCGCGGGCAGGCCCCAGCCCAGCCACCAGGAAGGGGAGGAAGGTGAAGGCCGCCGCGGGGACGGCCCGGTTCGGCTGCGAGAAGACGCAGCGCCGCACCCGGCCGCCCGAAGGCGGGAGGGAGGGAGGAATAGAGGGCGGGCTGGGCAGCTCTGCCCTCCTTCCCCGCCCCGCCTCTTCCCTCCTTCCCCTCGAGCGTGGCGTTCCAGCCGGACTCGCGGGTGTACTCTCGTATGCGTGTGTTTGGGTCGTTACGTTTGGGTTTTTTAACTGTTAAAATATCTTTCGTAGGTCACTAACGTTCGTGTTTAAATATATATATATATGTATGTATCTGGAAATCACTGAAGAATTTATATTGGAAAAGACCTCTAGGATCTTTGAGTCCAACCGTTCCCTCAGCACTGCCAAGGGCACCACTAAACCGTGTCCCTGAGGGTCACATCTCTATGGTTTTTGAACGCTTCAGGAAGGTGATTCCACCATTTTTCTTCTCAAATGACGTAAACACTGTAAATCCAGACTTGGTACCATGTACATCCGTGTACGTGGATGTAGTGAAAACTTGTGCGACTTAAGCCACAAAAATACACTTCTGCTTTAACAATAATGAAGCAGGATGACAGTGAGGAGACTGTGCTTGATATAGCAAAGAAGCTCCGAGCGTATGCAGATGCTGTACATAGCCCAACACATGCCAGAATCGCAGCAGTAAAAACATGTCTGCAAAAATTAGAAGACAAGATAAGAGAACCACAAAAAACTCAGGGAGGAGATTAAAGAGGGCTTTCTCCAAATCTCAGCAGTACAGGTCAGAGGTTCTAATGCCCAACACAGAGGTTCCCCAGATGGGGAGAGAAGGGACACCCCACGAGCTGAGCTGTTGTTCTTCCTGCATGATTGTGAAGAAAACAGGAGGAGATGGGATGGAAAATCTACTGCTGCTCTGGCCCAACAGGTTCATGAACTGAAGACTCAAAGAAGAAGTTCCAAAAAAAAGCAGCTCCAATAGCCTGTAACCAAACTGCCATATATGATGATGATGATAATAATTTCAATCCCCTTAAAGAAACCTCCAAGACATATACCCAAAGAAAAAAAGGATAACCAGGCTTAGAGGGGCCCTGCCTCTAGCCAAGTAGAGGCTAAAGAAAACCATGTTTTTTAGACTGTGTAAATTCATTGGCCTGGCACATCTGAACCACAAGAATATAAAGCTTTAGTCAAAAATGTGCGCAGTGCACATTAATCCCATCAAGACATGTGGGGACAGAATCTGTTTCTATTGCTAGTGTGACAGAGAAATCATAACATTTTACTTTAGTAAAAGCTGAGGTGAGTCTGACTAAAAATAAGTAGAAGAAACACCCTATTGTGAAACACCCAGCCCGTGCCAATGTTTGACAACCTTTCAATGAAGAAATTTTCCCAAAAACCTGACCTAGATCTCCTTTGGTGCAATTTGAGGCTATTTCCTCTGGTCCCTTCACTTGCTGCTTGGGACATGAAATCGGTCCTCACCCGGCTACAACCTCCTGTTAGGGAGTTGAAGAGATCAATAGGGTCCCTTTCCAGGTGACTCTTCCTCCCTCATGTTTCTCCAAACACCTCTTACTGTTCCATTTTCTGAAGTCCACCATCAGGCAGGAAAGTTGTCCTTGGTCAGCCAGGAATGAAACAATTCATCCAAAAGCAGCTGGCAGAGCCAGGCATTCCCCGAGCCGTCACCCTGACGTGGCAGACACAGGGTGGGTGTAGGCTCCAGAAGAAGAAAGCTGCCCTGAAGCACTGTGAAGAACAGCTGTAGTGTGACAGCAGGTGTTACCTGAAAGCTGCTGCAGCCCAGCCCAGGCTCCTTTTCCTCCCTGTGTGCACTGTGTAGTGCACACAGCCACTGCACACAGCTGTGCACTCAGTGCTCTGCTCACTGGACAAGCAAAATGCTCATCTACAGGATCTGATACCCACAAACCCCATCAAAACCAGGTGCTGGTGCTGGTGATGTGTCTCTTTCTAATATCTATTTTGAACAGGCCCTCCTGAGGACATATTGCAGTCTTACAGTGTACATGTCCCCGTTAGAGGAGGATTTAGACCATGATCTGATCCATGCATTTTCAGACTTAACTACTTTGTGCACTTTGCTGAAGCCTGACCAAGGAAGTCCAAGGATTCTGTTATTGGTACAGATACCATGGCCAACCTATGGAGCAGAGCAGGCTAATGCAACTGTGTTAGCAACCATGTGTTCAGTGCTTTGCTGATGGCTGCTGGTCTCCAGTGAAGCAGCAGAAACAGAGATCTCACTGGGAACCAGTGGCCGAAAGCCAGTAATCAGAAATCCAATTCTCTGCCTGACTGTGTTTGTTTGTGTCAGCACCTTGGGACACCACATCCTTGTGCATCCCTTCCTCTCTGCTTGTGAAGTAGAAATGATGATTCTGACAGTTACTTTTTAAGCAAAGCACATTGGAAATCTGTGGCTGTCACCAGTCTGAGTCTTGCACAGGCTGGAAAGCTGGTCCTTTCTCCAGGTTTCAGTGATGACTACAGTTGCAGCTACTCACGGATTTATTAATAAGCAGTCTCCAGCTGTGGAACCAATTTCTGCCAGATTATCAGGCTCAACCTAGGAATTTTAACCTTTCAAGTATGTTTTTACTGACATGTATAATAATTAATCCAGTACAAAAGAGACCAATTTTCCAAATTAAGCCCAGTTAATAAGCTTTGTTGTCAGTAATCGGGCCTGAAAATGTCTGATGAAGTTGAAGAATGTGTTGCATAGGCAACTGTACTGTTGGATTATACAGTTGGTAGTTCAGGCCAACAGGATTCTTGCTACTAATAATGCTAAGCTGTAGTAGGGTTTAGTGCTTTAAATAGGCAGCAAAGTCAGTGTGTGAGTCTGGGTTCTTTTTGATACTGGAGAATTTTTACATCACCAGAGCAATGCAAAGGATAATTGAGCTGGTGAAAAGTCACCCTGCTTTCTCGTGAATATTCTAGAGTGTCTTTCTCGGATAGATGATGCTAAAGCCAATGGAAGTGATGTACCCATTTTTTCTGTAAAGACATGGGCCTAAACCTAAAAAATTCATCTTAATAACATGTTCAATGTTTATCCCACTAAAAAAGGGGTGTATACCCTAATAACTCTTGTGTATCTTTATTCCAGGTTTCACATTTCTCCTGCACAGGTCATACAGAAGATCCACATTTGCAGCTTGCCTAGTCAGGGAAGACCAGGTGTAGCTCATTCAAGCATTTTAAGTTGTTATCTGTCAGTGGCAGGCTGTCTTGACTGCCCTTAGTATAAGTTAATTCTAGATGGCATTTAAGCATACCAAGATGTTTAAATGAGCCCCTGTCTTGGACAAGATATGTAATCATCCACACTGCAGTTTACACTTGAACACATCCAGCCTAATCACACTGAAAGAACTTTCATTTTCGTTGACCTTCCAAGCTCATCGTATTCAGCAGAAGCCTAGGCTTGCCCATATTGTTAAACTTATGCTATGTTTATTTTGTGCTTTTCGCTGTTATTTCAGGATTTAATCCAATGCCAGTTACTAGGATTAGTCTTGGTAGCCCTTTTTAGTCATGCTTTGTTTCCATAAGAGCTGACCTTGAGACAAGTCACCTGCTCAGCATCAAATACTCACGAGGATTTTATTTAAATCTTATTTAAATCAGCAGGAAGGCATGCTTTTCCTGGTGCATTTCTAGTGAAAACATCTATCTGCTTCATGACTGCGTTTCAGAGGCATGACTGCTCACTAGAGGAGATCTCTTGTGTACAAGTACCTTGATTTACAGATCAGACATGGCATCTTTGGTATGTAATACATTTATTAGGGTGTGATCTTCATCACCAGATTCTGTCTCTTTCTGGAACTTAAGGGAGCTTATTTAAATGTGGTTTGGGTTGATACAATGATACAAGACAGAACATAGAGAATACTTTGTGGCCTCTACATTATTAAAAGACACTGTGGAAACAAACAAACAAACAAACATAAAAAAGGCAGGCCAATGAATTCAGGGAGGTACAGACTCATACAGATGCAGGATTTACTAATACAGCACAAATATCATATATCTAAAGTAGTATGTATTTCCTGGATTATTTTGCTTTTATAAAGTAACTTTAACAAAGCATAAAGTGCACATCAAAACAAGCTCTTGCATAGGAAAGATTGAGGTGTGTTAAGGGACTGGGGGGACTTAAGGCTAATATCAGTAGCAAAATCATACTGGCTGTGGTAGGGGTAAAATCAGATCTGTAAGCAGCAAATGAGAGGTGTTCATTTCAACATTAAGTTAACTTTTTATTTTGGGTT